TCAAAACTAATACAATTGCAAATGAGGAAAAAGTTGCAGTTAGCCTCAGGAACTCATGCGCAAACAACAATGTATAATCAATAATTATAAACCAGAAATTAGATATTTTAGCTCGCGAAATTTTGATCCAAACCCTCAGTTAACGAGAGATGCAGAAATTTGGACTTTTTCGCTCACACGCCGAGAGAGAAATCAGACCTGATTGCCGCGTCCGGTGTATTTGAGCTGGCAGGAATCGAAGCCGGGGCGTCGGCGGAAGAGGTTGTGGATTTCACGCGGCATCACGTCGTCGGGGAGGCCGGAGATGAACAGCGTGTTAATTCCATTCCGCTCTCCGCCGGAGTAGACGTACTCCGGAGGCGGCGGGGGTAAGTAGAACGGCTCGTACGGCGGCGGATGGGCCATCCTGGCAGGTGAGCGCAAGGGCACCGGCGGATAGGCTGAGTCTCAGGCCGACGGACACATTGCGACTGTGGAGGGCAGGTGAAATGATAAAATGGGCTGGAATTTTTCTAATCTGCTAGCAATGGGTTCTGTAAAAGATGAGCAGCCCAACGGGAAGAGTGTTGGAATGTTTATGTGATGGCCCAAACGATCTTTAAAAAGATAGACGGTCCAACTAAGAATAGGAAGTGAATACTGAATAGTGAAATTTGATACTCTCCTTAATTGTATTAATATAACAAATTTGAAAGAAAAAAAAAAAAATAGATCAAAGTTAGACATGACCAAATCTCGGGCCGAGCCCGGGCCGGCGGGTCTCCGGGTTTGAAATGGCCGATCCTGAACCAACTTGTACCTAGATACGTGTCGGTTACACGATTCAGTAGGCCGGGTCCAGCCCAGTTCCCGCCAATTATAGGAGTTTTAGTGGCGTGTAGTCCGCCTTTTAGTACATTGCTTTTGGTAGATTGCACTAATGTTGTTTACTTTATAATCTACACAGCAAATAATATTATAGTCCCGTAAAGGAACCTTTCCTTTGTATAAAACTCCAATAAGAAATTGGCACATCACTTTTTATTCGATTAAATCTAAGGGTCTATATCAAAACTAAAAAAATCTAATAACTTACATTGAATTGAAATGACCATTCCCCACGAGACTTTAGCCTTTCCCATAAATATCAATCAAATCTGATAATTCATGATGTTATTTGGTCTTTCCAAAATGAAAACAAATACAAAAGTAAACTAATAAAAAAAAAAAATGTAGCTGTGTGCTCTCTGTCTGTTCCTGTGCCGGCCCGTTGTCATTGATATGTACATTTACAAAATCTTGTTCGTATCATGTCATTTTGAATTTTCGAGAACAAATATATTCATTCAATCACAAATACATTGAAAACGTCGCTCAATCCTATCAAATAAGTTCGAGCCAATTGAGAAGAAAATATTCTAAAATGAGCCTTATAAGTGCACGCTGTGCAATCTTCAAATCATACAGTTTCATAACTTTGCACACTGTGCAGTCCATCTGTCACATTTAAACTGTCATTGAATATGTGTGATCCAACTCTTTAGTGTAACTATTTGTGATCTACCAAATGAAATCCACTTCATTCATTAGACTTTATTAGGCGGCAAAATCGTCAATAAAAATGCATGCTTTATAGATAAAATTTCATATTTTTCTTTATATTATTTTTTAATGTATGATAATTAGTTGAAAAATTATGGATGCTTAGATATATATTTTGAAAAATTATAAGCCTAAATGCTTAATCGTTGGCACATAAATGTTATGGAGACATCAGATGGTTCTCTTATGGAGCATCCATAACTTTATGTGTTAACGCGTGTTATTTATTGCATGACACGTGTCAATACACAATTTGTGAATAACTATGGACCGAGTCATCCGATGGTCCATAACAAAACCGATCATTAGCATACCTAACAACAACCTTACTGCTTTAATCAAACTAATAAAAAAAATCTAGTTTTGGAATGAAAATATTTATACACATACAAAACAAAAAAGCAAGCTACGGAGAACAACCACAATATATGTAATGACACAAAATAATTTACACTTTAAACTTCAACCAATTAATACAGAATAGAGTTGTTTTAGTACATAAATTGCATATTCCACCCATAAAATTCTCAATTAAAAAAAAAAAAAAATCCAAAACAGTCAACGACAAATACAAGATGATGATCAATGATTGAATTCAAAACAGCTACAACAGGAAATTAAAACAAAATATAACCAAGGAAATTATATATAAAAAAATCAAGATGAAGGAGGACCGCCGGCGGACCTGAGCAAACCCCCGGCAGCTTCCTCGTCGGTGAGCAAATCGTCGGTCCTCCTCACGGCGGCGTGGACCAGCACCAGTACGACCCCGACGAGCAGCGAACCCAGGATGTTGGCGGTGGCATGCGTCAGCAAGAGGACGAAGATCGTCACCACGGCGAGAAAGACCAGGACCACCCGATCCGTGACCAGGCGGCCGAAGACGACCAGCGGCTCGTCCCGGAGAAAGTACAGGAACAGCCACACCGCCATGATCGCGACGAAGACGATGAGCGAGATCGGGTGCCAGAGGAGGCTGAGGAACAGGACGCCGAGGATGACGATGGCGTAGTTCACCCGGAAGTAGGCGAGGTTCTCCCGCACGCGCGCCACCGCCTCGCGGGTGGATCTCGGGAGTCCGAGTCCGCGGAGCATCTCTCGCCAGGGGCGGCGGGTGCCGAGGCCGGCCTTGATGCGCTCCTTGGCGCGGGAGATATATTCGAGGTCGACCGGAGCGCCGGAGGGGGAGGAGGACGTCGGGATGGTGCCGTAGTTCGTCATATTTCCCGGCGGCGGAGGAGAGATTTGGGAATTTTGGAGATATTTTTGGGGCTTTTAGAAAGAGGGCTTTAATTGAACTAATGAACTGGGGAAAACGAGACGAGTAAAAGTGGGGAGGTGTATATGAAGGAGCGTGGGGGCGTAACGTAGGGAATAATTACTCGTTTGAGATGTGGGGATGATGTGGTATACTGGTATAGGGAAAGTCCATATGGTAGCTAGTCTTCTTACTTTACAATAAAAAATAATTTCTACAATTAATTTCTCTCTTTTATTCTATTAATCGAAATACGAATATGGCACGAGTATATCGTGATGTCGTATTTGTACAAATGTCACACATTTTATGAGGTGAAATAGGAGAAGAAACATAGAAGTTGAACAAGAGATTTGATCATCTTCCTAATGGTCAGTCAGTAGAACTGCTAACGTATTGAATGGCTCGACTCGACTCGTCTAGTTAAAATCGAACTTAATCCAATTCGTTTGATCAACTTGAATTGGTGAAGCTAGGAAAAAACCTCCATTGTAATCTACTTAACCTTTGATACTAAAGCCCTTTTATAGGTTATTTTCTAGAACTTGAGTTATCAGGCCTCCGATGTATTGACTTCTAAGTACTCGTCTCTCTTTGCTTCGCCAAGTAGAGATTGAATCGACCCTGGAGAGCTGCTTCTGTTAAAACTTCAAATATTGCTTTCATTAATTTTTTTATGGTTCGACTCAAAAATTAAAAATTTATATATTTTTCTGTAGTTCGACTTATTATATTAATAAAGAGCATAGCTATAGATCGTTTATCCGTCCATTTTGTTAGTAAGTGAAACACGACTTGGCTCAATAAAAGTTTAAGATCGACACAACCATTTACAATTTTATTACACATTTGTACTTCATCAACACATACACGTATTTTCATAAATATAGTTATAATAATAAAAGTGTATTTTATAGTAAATATATTTATGTAAAAAAAAAAAACATATGATTACTAAGGTTACTCAATATATTATGATTTTGTTTATAGAGAGTCAATGAAACGAAAATGCTAAGCTATTAAATTAGTGAATTTTTAAGGGGTTCGTGATTTTATAAGTGATTTCCCACCATATAGATTGTCTTAAAAAATACAATTTAGTAGTTAAGCAATCGAGTAGTTAACCAATGACGAAGAGGGGTTAGCGCAGTGACGCGTACCTTCGCTCGGCGTGTACCATATCCCGAGTTCGAGTCACTCGAAGGGGAATTGAGGAAGCAATATTGATCCACTTCGAAAAGAAAAAAACAAAAAAACCAATCGAGTAGAATAATTTTTAAAATTTAACATGAAATGAGATATAATGAGACAACAGAAGCTTGTAAAATGTGAAGGTATCTATGTGGAATAGAAAATGGTGATAGTGTAATGTTAAGAACATTTTCACCTAAACCCTCAACATGACCGTGGGCTGTTGGTCTCTTTGTAGTTGGACCCAATAGGAGGATAAGACCACAATCATGTACAGTGGGCCCTTTTACTTACATTACGAGAGACGGGCCCAACCAGATTTATTGCGGTTACCATGTGGCATGTTCCAATCACGTCGACTATTGCAATAAAAATACCTTTTTATGCTATACCGAAAGTTTAATATTAAACTTCTATAATATATTAGACTCTAGAAAAATCTTATGGTTCGTTGCTCATCTTTGCAGATTGACCGATGATATTAAATCTGTTTATCCTCGTACAAATTATGATCAACTTTATATTGAGTGAAAAACTGAAAATCAACCTATAATAACCATTTAAATAATACATATCATAACAATTTAAATAATTAGACTCGTATTTAGAAAAAAAATAAATAATATAAAATATATGGATGTAAGAAAAGATGTAAATTAGCACATGTGTTTTTAGAAAACTATTCCTTTCCTTTCAAATAGAGAGTCTGACATCTTTGAGAGAGTCTGACATCTTTGAAGTAGAGAGTCGACACTGTGAAGAAGGACATCAAGGAGATGTGACACAGAATTGATTTTTAATTTTTTACGCACTTAGGATTTTTTTCTTGGTGCACACAGATATTGAATCTATTTCTGCGTAGCCTCATTTTTTATTGAGATTTTCTTCGTGCCCAGAATGATATTTTTCTTGGTGCACACAGATATTGAATCTATTTCTGCGTAGCCTCATTTTTTATTGAGATTTTCTTCGTGCCCAGAATGATAAGCATATTCGTAGCCACACAAACAAGCCTCATTTTTTATTGAGATTTTCTTCGTGCCCAGAATGATAAGCATATTCGTAGCCACACAAACATCTTTCTAATATACATATTCTTAAATTTATGTTCAAGTTACATACTTTGTATTAAACATTAGTGTATTATTATTTAAAATATGAATTGTCTGTCATTATTATTAATTCAAATTTAGTTCCAAGTTTTTCATATATTATTGAATTATGAATATTAGTTTTCTACCGGAGTCATTTCTTGCATAGATAGAACAACAATAAAAAACATCTTTCTAGTTTGCATATTCCTAAATTTATACGTACAATACAAATTATTTATTAAACATTTGTGTATTATTATTTGAATTATAAATTGCATGTCATTAATTTCAAGTTTTCCATATATTATTTGAACTAGTATTCAATCCTGTGCACATGCACAAAGCGAAACAAAAATCTATATATTATATATATGTATATGATATTCAAAATTTTAAATTAAATAAAATGTGTATTACATTTAAAAATTCTAGTTATATGTAAATGCATAATATAAATATAAATTATTTAACTTCCATATAAATCAGTTTTTTTAATTTGCTATTGTATAACTATAATATAAAATAAATAATATAAAATAATTTAATATTGTATATTCATAAAATTTAAAATTTTGTAAAGTTGTTAATTCAAGGAAATAAATAGCTCGCTAAAGTTGCCGCTATTTGAGAAATAACTTTTTTTGGCAGCGTGCCGCTATTTGTATTCATGTGCAATTTAGCCGCTAAATCCCGCTAAATCTTCGCTATAGCTCCGCTATAGATACAGTGTCATAAACATTTTAGTCATGTGCAATTTAGCCGCTAAATCCCGCTAAATCTTCGTTATAGCTCCGCTATAGATACAGTGTCATAAACATTTTAGCCCACTATTTAAAACCTCGGTTGTTATATAATAAAAAATTAAAAATGGTAAGATTTTATTTTTTGTAATTGCCATTTGAATGCTGGTCATAAAGATTAATTATTAATCAATCTTATTTTCATTAATTGCTGGTTGAATAAAATTTATTGAAGCTTGCCAGCAATTGTATATATAAATTAATTGCTGGTTGAATTATCCAATCAAATGTCATGTGTAACACAAGTTTTTCGACATTTGCTATTGGTAAGGATATTACAAATAAAGTCTGAAAAGTATGCGAACAATATATATCGTTAAAAATTGTGCATGAAACTTTTATTTGTGAATAATATGCCATCTCAAACGTACGTGAAAAATATATATTGTTAAAAATAGTTCAAATTTATTTCATTATTAAATAACACCAATGGTTGCCACAACTTCGATAAACACCAGTTATTTTCTATGTAACTCACCTGAACTTGTTTTGGAACCCAAAATACAATAAAGTCAATAAAATAACCAATGACGCTTGTTATTAGTGAAACAAATTCAACTTCCTACAACGTGCCTCAAGTGTGTTTTGCACCCATTTTCGAACCCGTTCGACTCAAATTAATTATGGACTTAGAACTATTAAAAAGGGTTGTTCGGGAGTTGAACGTTCACTAGAGATTCAAGATGATTTTATTGAAAATTTATGTCGCTATTTTATGAGGATACACTGATAGTTAAGCTATTCGAGATACATTATTGTTCCATGCGGACTATGAAAAAGGTAATCACACCCCATAAACAAATACATCGTTTTCCCCCAAATTATAGTAACAAGTCGAGTTATATAAGTTCAGTTTTACGTACGTGTACATATTTTATACAACTTCCCGCAAAATTTGAGTGACAGCGTTCAAATGTACATATAAAATGCATTTTGTGAATGAAGAAGATAAAAACCAGGTTTTGAGTCAGTCAAGTACATTCTTGAAAGTTTGAGACTAGCTCAAATACACACAAGCTTCAGAAGATTGCAACGGTTATACGATTGTAACTAGAAATTGAAAACAAACATTCTGAAAAAACACAATAAAAAATCTATAATCACACTATACCGATTATAAACACAGCTATTTTTTTTTTTTTTTTGGTTCTTTTTTTTTCAGTAGCGAAAATAATCAGAATATAAGAGAAGCTTTCGCTGACACAGGCACACACACAACAGGATTAATAACATTGATAAAAAAAGAAGTATAATCTAATTTCAAGAAAAAAAATGCAAAGACTGTCTAAAAGATGTGGGATCTTATTATAAAAATTGAATCCTTAAAAGGGGCTTGCGAAGAAAATATATAGCTGGCAGGAATGTTTGCAATATCACAATATCTCAAGGGCATCTTTGAGATTGTCACAAATATTTTGTTCTTTCGGTTTAGTTTTTTTAATCTATTTTCATTATCTGCCCCAAACCTCGATGTAATATTGTGGTTTTATTTAGTTATGCAAACGTTAAAGGAGTGTTTCTATTTTATCCAAGTTACAGATAAATATAGACTGACTGAACCCGAGGATTTCTAGTTTGGAAATACAGAAACCTTTGGATTTCAAAAACCATAAATCCACAACAATCAATTATCGTGCTCCGGAAACCCTCAATAATAATGGAAAAAACTGGGTTCAGAGATACCATACCTGATCCACTCACTTCACCTCTGCCGAAATTGGTGAAAGCATTTCCAATCTGAAAGAAAATCACACAAAATGAAAAAATTTATATCAGAGAAGAATATAAATGACAGTTTAAAAGAACATTTGGGATTTGGGAATGGAGGGAGGAGAAGATACATAATGGAATTACATGCAAAAATCATAAACTATACAAACAAATTAAAATTCACAAACAATAATTTATAAATAACATAATGGAACCTACTCGACAATCCCACGGATATCCTACTTGTCTCTATGGTGGAATGGGTTGGCAGACTGAATAGAGTTTTCAGAAGATTGGTCCAAAGATTCTATCTTAGAAAGAAAACAGCATTAGTTACAGTAAAAACTGCATACAGTCCACTCATATCTCGAAAGTATTCTCACAATCACCCCCACCCTCTCTCAACTTCGATCATCTCAAAGCAAGAATACACAATCTGAAACCTTCTCAACTTGTCTTCCCTTGAAACTACATATAATACACCAAGAAGGTTGCTTTTCCACGAATTAATAGTTGAATTAATCTATCCACAAGATATCTACAAAAAATAGCAAACGCAAACCACAACCCACTTAGAGCCGACATTTAACCAAACTTTCCACCACCCGTGAAGAACGCTCGTAGAAGCTGAATGTTAACTGCTAAGTGCTAATGTAAACTCAAACTGCAAGTTCAACCGGAACAACTGATCCAAGTGGTAATATTAAGTCCATAACATGCTATATTGTAGAATTCCATTTCTTAAGCAGCAGTCATGCAGAAACCTAGCTCAATCCATTCCCTTAAATACAAATCCAACCTATGAACAAAAGAATATTCACCTCTCCAGAAAGAAGATCCTACAAGAATATCAACAACCAAAAATTTGACCTCATAACTGTTTCATCCAATCAAAAATTTGGTGAAGGTTCTGGCCAATCACAATAATAAAGACCCCCAACTATTTAAGGTGATCAACTATAAGAGTGGGTCATAAAACACTGCAGTACATTCCTTTTAATCACCGACCGAAGAAAATACTCAGTTTGGAGGCTCTTTTTACCATTAGGTGTTAGCGTTGAGAGGAAGTAGGTGTGGAGTCCTGAGAGCTATGAAGTTATTAGCCTAATTGGAGTCCAATTTCTATTCCCCATTTTCTGCTATAGATTGATAACCCCCAGTAGAAGTTTACACAAGCACTTTTAGTATTAACTATATACATAAACCTTGACGAGTATAGTTTCCAAGAAAAGACATGTAGTGAAGATAGAGACTATGTCAGTTGAAACTATAACATATGACCGATATTTCCAAAAACTGCCACTCCATTGTGCAATCTCCATATTTTCGTTCAACTGGAAACATGCAATCTCCATACTTTCGTTCAACTGGAAACATGCAATCTCCATATTTTCATTCAACTCAGGAACAAGAAAGAACATACTTCTCCGATGTAAGATTCCTAAGGTAAAAAAGTGCTCTCCTTAATAGAACTCTTCCCTCCCGAAATGTCTCAAATTCCACAATCTCACTATACCAAGAGCAAACTAAAACTTCATAATAACAACAGTTCATCGACTCATTCCATTTCCAAATTGCTCATCTCCTTTAATCCACAGTTTCTGATCTTCTACTTCCATACAGAAATGAGGGAAGCTATCACAATAAGTACTATGATGTGGTTATACACCAAATCAGATATTCACTACCTTATCATCTTTAGCGTCACAATCAACAGGAAAACAATGTAAAAGAAAAACATAAATTTGATTAAGAAATAACCCAACATGGACAAGGTGGTTTCAGAACATATAAGCGTATGCATGAGTGATGGAGGATAGCGGACAGCTAAAAGCACCTCAACACAAAACAGACATGTAAATTGCAAGCCAGGATAGAGTACCTAAAAAACCGGAGGAGAGCACTTGCTTATGAAGTGAACTTGGCCTTCATCACAGAGTGGCCCACCATCCTTCTTTCTGTCGATCAGGATCGGGCCAATGCTTAGAAGACCTTGCTAACCGGACACATGATGCTACTATTATATAACACAAAAAATATACCAGGCAGTGGTATAATAAAACCTTGGATGTGTTTTATGGCGTGACTGAAAGATATCCACATATGAACAGGGAATTAGGTTGGAGATTTGGGTCAGAGCCGACTGGCACAAATTTAATTCAATGCTTGCCATTGCAAGACGGTCGAAAGGATATGCAAATCTCAGGGTGAGGCCGTGAGCCTCGGTAGCTTATGGTAGCAAGTTTGCGTATTCCTAAAAGTATAGTACTAAGATACTACATGGCAATTTCCATTTCCCAATTTCTCAAATGCTCCCCTAGAAATAGAAGATTCCTACAAAACCAATCTAACCCAAATTACTAATGAAAAATAACCTAGAAGTTCAAGGGCAAGATATTCGTCTTGACCAAAAACAAATACAACTTTCACAGGTTTCAAATCAGGCAGCATAACAACTACACAATGATAGAGCAACCAGAGGCACCTTCATAACTTCTCAAAGAGATGCATCCTCCCTGACAGCACATACCTCAACCATTCCACAGAACATAAGAAATAAACTCTTAGTCAGAACTCAACTACTATCGAATTGAAGAACAGAAAGGCACCCAATCTTCCAGTTAATCTTCAATTTTTAATCTATGATATCGAAGGATGTGAAGGAACAACTAAATGTTCACAATGATTCAAAAGAACAGAAATACTATGGTAGCAGACCTCAAAGATGGTGAGAAAGAGGAAAGATCTTTTAATCTAAAGAGCCCGTAACTTAAATAACACAAGAATAAGAAACTGGTCTTGGAACTATAATAGAAGTTCGCTCTCAATGTGATCCATTGAAAACAGAGTATTATGTCACAGCTGTCAAGGTCTTCACCAGCATCTGGAGGTACATCTAACTAAAGAAACTCTCCCATGTCAATGGATATATCCATTTAGCTCTCGTTTGAGTCGCATGATTCGTAAATACAACATTACAAAATCACGATCATCTGGAGACTGTAGCCTTCATCTTCGAAAGACAACCTCCAAAACTAATTTCATATTTTGGTGATGTTGACCAAAAAGCTGACATTTTCACAGTCCAGCAAACAATGGCACAGGAATCTTTAATCACCATCCCTTGCAATCGAACTACTTCATTTGACAACAGAAGTCATCATGTAACTCCATCAATGAATTCTAACCATACTATCCAGTCTAAAATGTAACCAAACAGCTCCAGAGATGATCTTAGTAAGAAATGGTCAAAAACCAAAAACAAATTCATCCAACCAGCAGCATATAGATGGTAGTATAATGTACATAGCGTGAACAACACAAAATGTGCAATTAAGTCATGATTATAGCTGAAGAAAGAGTGAAAGACAAATGATAGCATAGTTTAAGACTGATACCTTAATATCAAAGATGACAAGAAAAATAAGCAGTAATCTATAGGGTGTACACTGCAAATAAGCACTGTCTTGCCCTTCACCCTACTGGGCAACAAAAACAAGGCTCGCAATGTGTGCCCTATAAGGTCTAGTGCATAATCTACCCACAGCTCAACGGCGACCCCTCTGTGCCTTTTCATGTCCTCCCCATGAAGTAGAACTAGAACCATATATAGAACGTTTCTCTAGAGCACCCTGAGAATAAAGTAAAAAGTTGACATAATAACAGAGCATGGAGTTGGGCCTTTGTGATGTATTGAAAATAATTGAAATGTCTGATCAGCATATCCAAACCTGGTGAGTCCCATATTCATCATACGGGGCAGGGTAAATTGCATCTTGATTGCTGAACTTCAAACCATACGCTCCACCTGGCAGTTAAATAGTAAAGTCAAAATAATGATGAAACCATCATAATGCCCAACAAAATCCATCTCGTGGTGAATATTATGTTTTGCACGAGTGTTATAATGTAAATGTAAAACTTGCACTATATTTCAATCCTTCAGCATAATATCAATGTCAGTGAACACAAAAAAAGCTGCACGTAATTTCTTAAAGCAAAAGCTCCAACAGGGTTATATGTTTCTCTGGAAGTCTGGAATGGCCCACAATCAATAGAGAACAAGAAATTAATGAATGGCAGAATTTTGAACTTCCAAAGATTTCGTACACAAGTGAACAAAGAATGCTTAAAAGACTATGGAACAAGAAAGTATTGACCTGCTGCACTCAGTGGTCTAGCACCAGAATTCGCAAGCTCAGAACGAAGCTTTTCAATTTCACGAGCCATGCTGACCAAGCTCTTTTCCATTGACTGTCTCTGATCCATCAGCTCAACATTTGCCTTCTTTTCATAGTCAATGGCATTTCTGTAATTCAGAAAACAGCAGCTTATGCAACCATCTTATCGTAGCCATGCACAAATTACTAAGCTTGACTATGCAGATAGCACAAAATTTATACCAAAAAAGGGCAAGAAAACAGACCTAGCTCGCAACAGTTCCTGATGCAGCCCATCAATCTCAGACCTCAGTATAGGAATCTGCTGGTTATCAGACCTCAGCTTTGCAAGTTCTTGAGAAAGGGTCTGAACCTGACCCGATAGATCCTTCCTCATCGCACTCAATCTGTGGATCTCGGTTCTAAGTTGTGTAGCCTCATTTTTCAGAGGCTCCGTTGCACGAAGGTCAGCCTCCAACTTCCGGCCCCTTTCCACAAGTTCCCTAGACTGGAGCTCTTGTTCGGCACGCATATCACCAATGGCAATATTCATGCGGCGCAACTCTTCCTTTGCAGCAGCTAAATCTCGTTCGAAGGTAAATCGGTCTTCAACCAGCCTCTTGTTTTCACCCAAATGTCTGCGGAGTTCAGCGTGTCGGATTTGAAGCTCTTCCTCTAATAGTGCGGGATGTGGAGGCATGGGCCGAACCACATGACCTCGAGAGACAGGTTGCTCCAGTCGGTACGCATATCGGTGATCAATGGGCTGGTGAGGAACTCGATTTCTTCGTGACATCTCACCTTACAATGGAAAGAGAGGATTTACAGGTGTATTAGGCTGGGAAAGAGTGAACTATAAATATAAAGTTTCATGCAGCATGTAATTGACTTAATTCAGCAACGATGTAAATGGTTCTTTAAGAAATCAGATGGTTGGATGGTTATCGACGTCGATTTAAAGAAAATTCAAATTAATTCAGGAAATGGTTATAATACTTTTTCCATTTTTAACACTGCTCAAAACCCACAAATAACTTGCTACATTAAGGCCTCCGAACGACGAAAAGTAACAACTCCCAGCTCAAAGAATCAGTTTTCGGGTACTAGATACAGAAAACCATTACACATCCGAATTGGGAAGTTAATAAATCATAGACACGCAAATCATGAGTATCACGAGTATAAATCCAAGGAATGTGATAATCAAGCTTCATCGAATTACTTTAAGAACTACTGAACCACAAAAATCAATTACAAAACTCGGCTACACCCTTAATCCCAATCCCAGGGCAACAACAATCAAAACTATTTTGAATTCTAGATGACAACATAAATTAGCTAAACAAAAACAAAACAAAGGGGGAAAAATGCAAACAACGTTGTTTTAGCTGCATCACAACGAAATCAAACGGGATAGCCCAATCACAATCCCAATAAAAAATCTCGCAGTCATAACTTCAGAAAACAATTTTCCCTATGAATTACTCTTTCACTCCACATCTACACGAAATTCGTGCTGTCCGTGAATATAATAGTTGGACTGAATTTCGTACCTTTGCTGCGAGAACGAAGAAGATTTGGGAATTGGCTGAAAGATAGAGAATGATGAGAGCTGAGATATAGGGAATTAGGGTTTGTCTGAAATTATAAAGCAGAGAGGCATGGGCAGAAACGACGCCGTAATATTGGTGAAGAGAGAGTAGGGAGTTATACACTATACTGTTATGAATAAATCGCGGGTCCCCTATGCGACTTTTCGAGTAAAATGTAATGAACACGATTTTTTTACCGAAAAACCACAAAAGAAAGGTGCGCGGAAAAAAAAAAAAAAA